ATCGATTTTTTATTAGATAATTTGTTCCAATATTCATTTATTAATTTTTGGGCAAATCTATTAATAGTATTAACAAGAATTGATTAAAATGACAAAATGCATAAAATGAGCTTTCAAAATAACACTTACACGTTTGTCGACAATTCCCACGAATTATCTTTTTCATCCCAACCATCCCATTTAATGAAATATTCCAATTCACCCTAGATGATTAGTATAATAATTAAACAAAAAAGCTTTTTCTAATTCAAATATTTTAAAACCGATAAAAAGATATGTGTATACGTTTTTATTAAATCTATGACCCGCAATTTTTTCGACCAAATATTCGTCGTCTCCTATATTACCATCATCGTCATCATCGTCAATACCGCCATCTTCAATATCTCCATCATTAATATCGTAACTGGCATTGTCATCATCGGCCATACTTTCTTGGGCGCTTAACTTTCCGTCTTCTGGATCATCGAAACTATACGGCGAATCCTCTTTATACCAAAAATCCAATTCCCAAGAAACTTTTTCAGAAAGTAACATATCTTCATCCAATTCTGAAAATTTTTGAGTTTCATTATGCTCATTGGATAAATCCATAATTTCATCATCATCTAAATTTTTTGAACGTTCTTTAATACCATAATCATCATATTCTTCATTTTCAACATGGGAATTACCGTCTCCAAAAACAATATTGCCTCCCATGAAAAAATTACCGCCGTAAATAATACTGTTACTAACAGCACCATCACCAGGAAGGATGTTATGAAGACTCATATTAATTACAAGTAGAAAATGATGAACTTTAGGTTATTTATGAAAAAAATTAATCAAATGACATCATGAATGTTTGAAATTTATTCTTTATTTGAACCAAGAAGCTTTAATAAGGTTTGAGCAAAAGTAAATAATGATGTAAAAAAAAAGTTTATAGATAATAGCGTCATTACTAATAAGCCAAAAATTTAATAACTTTATTTCTTTGAAAAAATGCACTTCTTTTATTTATAATACGTAAATATATATTTTTTTTAAAATTTAATTTTAAACTATAAACTTTTTACCAAAGCATCATAACATTTCACATTGAATCAATCCAAGTGATAATACAAAAAATTAATGGATAATGACATTTTTATTCACACCAGCCTGGAGTAATTTCAGCAATCTTTTCTTTGCGATTTGCAGATTCAACTACAGTATAAACATTAAAACGAATTAATCGCATTCTTATGTGAAGAAAATAAATGTCAAACAAGTTTTTAAGTATCAAATTTGATGCACTCAGTATTATCCTTTTCACTCATGACTGCAACCGGTAAAACTTTTGGCCACTAATATAGATCCTTTCAAATTTACGATTATCTCCAATTTTGTTATTAGCAGATTCCCCTATTTTAGATGTAGGTGTTTCTTTTAAATGTTCTAGTTTCTCTTTTTCAGACGTATTTACAACGGTGTCAAATGGAACAATGCATTCTTTATAACATATTTTTTCATCAGTAACGTTAGGATCATCGTATATATTTTCCATTGTTATTTAGAGAATTTTAATCACTAAAAGATGAAGAAATTTTTTTTTTTTACGAATTCATATATATTTATAGAAATTTTCGAAACAATGATTCTATTATCATGTCATTATTCTGATAAAAGTTATTGATGACTTCTATAAACCCTAAGTCTTATTTAATTATTACGTATCTATGATAAAATTAATTCTATTGCTGTTAGTTACATTACAGCATTAACTAGTGATTCGTATTTTTTATTCACTAATCCCTTTTTGAGAAAAATTAACATTACTTTTGCTTATTCGAAAGATGAAGGAAATTACAGTAAAAATATATCGTCACTACGTATAAAAGAATCAACCTCAGCTGATATAAAAATATGTGTAACTCAGCCCAGCAGATACGTAACGATAAATATACATAATGATAACCCCAGCAGATACCGATACGTAAACCCCAGTAAATAGAAAAATGATCTACAATGATCATCACAAACCTGCATTCTATAAATATAAGCTCCGCATTTATTAATTTACATTTATAGTTTTTTTTTCTCTTTTTTCCAATGTAGTGAAAAAATTATTATTCATGCCAGAACTTTTAGCTGATTGTCTTTACGAAATATTTAAATATTTGAGGAATGATGATAAAGATGATAGAAAATCTTTAAATAATTGTATTTTCGTTAGTAGACTTTGGTGTAAAAATGCCATTCCTTTATTTTGGGCTTGCCCTTGGAACGATGGTGGAAATTTTGTATATAAACCTACTATTATTAAAACTATTTTATCTTGTTTATCTTTTGATTCTCGTCAAACTTTATTAAGTAATGACATTGCTACTTCTTATCTTACTTCTTATCGTCTTCCTTTATTTAATTATATTAGTTATTGTCAAATTTTATCTTCTTGGATAATCGATGGAATGATTCATGTTATATTATCAAATAATAATAATATTATTATTAATCATCATCAAAATCTTAATCGTCTTAATGATTTGGCTTTGGGTTATAAAGCTACTATATTAGAACATGAATTATATAATTTATATATGTCAAAGGCTTCTTCCATCTCGAGACTTCTTGATCTCCCTGATTTTCCTATTATGTATATGCCTGGTGCAAGATTATGTTTATCTCATCTTTCTGATTTGGATTGTAGTACTGAAGATTCTCCAAGGTACTTTTTTTGTCTGGCTGAATTCTGTAGAAAAATTCAAAGGCTTCGTGTTTATCCTTGTGAAGAAGATAATCAAGGATTGGCTACTTTAATTAATTTACAACATCGTTTAATTCATCTGGATTTGGGTACAGATAATAGTGAAATGGTTGAAAAATTAATTCATATTGGTGAAGCTCTTACTACTCAAGCTCATTCTTTAACTTTTATTAAGGTTTATAATAATTTATTTTTTTCTACCGAACATTTATCATCTTTTATATTCCTTAAAGTTTTAAAAATTTATGTCACTTCTGAAATACCAAGAAAGTTCTGGCTCTGTGACATGGTTTTACCTCATCTCGAAGTACTAGATGTATTTCGTGATGAATTTACACCTTTTAGATTTTATAAATGTCTTATTGATCATTCTTCATCTAAATTTCGAAGAATTTATTGGAATAGATTACTTGCTACCCCACCTGATAATAAAGAAATTCAAGATTTCATACGAATTATTTCAAGATCTTCTAATTCACTAAATTTCGTCACTATTTGGTATTCTGATGATTTTATTGATGATTTTGTTCAATTATTAACAATTTGTACAAATCTAATTGGAATTAAGATTTGTGCTAAAGATTTAAATGATGAAAATATTATGATTAATGCTGAAAATATTTTAAAAGTTATTATTGATAAAGCTCCAAAAAATTTTTCGATTTTAAATTTTGATGGAAATTGGTCTTTTTCTTTTCATGATATAGAATCTTTTTTTGAAAATTGGAAATATAGAAATTTATCTTTATCTAGTAAACTTCCTTTATCTTTATTTATTTCTGATGATTGTGAATTTTCTTGGGGTTTATCGGTTAATGATTTAATTAATAAGTATGTAGATGAAAATGTTTTAAAATGTTTTAGAATAGCTGATTTCTTGGATTTGGAAGATAAAGAATTTATAAATGTTATTGACTTTTAATTTTATTTTTTTTCGCTTATTTTGATATAAATTTTATTTTTTTATTATATAGAATTTAAAAAAAAAAATAAATAAAATAAATAACGTACTTAAGAAAAATTTTTCTTTATTATTGCCGAATGTTGATATTATAAAATTGTACATAATTCAAATAGTATGATCACGTAACAAAGTACTGTATAAAAAACGACAAAAGATGAAAGCTCACAAAAGATGAAAGCTCACAAAAGATGAAAGCTCGCAAAGGATGAAATCAAAACTAAAGATGATGTTTAAAACTAGGAGTTAACTTAGTTAACTTGGTTGATTTGGATGACGGTACCGGTAAGTAAATGAAATAATCTTAGTATATTGATTATAACTTTTCTTATGATACACTTAGAAATATCAAAATTTTACAATTAGAATTCTAATTAAAAGATATAATCCCTTTGCACCTAGTTTAACACAAAATTTTAAGCATTTGCAGTTAAAAGGACGTATCGAAAACCAAAACTTGTCCATAAAACAATTGCCTTTTATTCAATCGCAAGATTAGAAAGATAATGAAAGATATATAATTGTAAATATATAAATAAAATACCCAGTAAAAATCGTAAAATTATTATTACTTTCATATAGTGATGGAATGCCGAAAGTTTCTGACAATACTGTAAGTAGTTGCAAAAAAAAATTGCTAATACTTGTGATATACTAATCAGATTTAAATAATTCTGCCACCATTAGAACAGGAATACAACTTTCTACTATTTTTATACGATTTACTTCTTTCTTGCAAATACTCTTTTTTGTTTGAAATTTACTTTGCCACAACCCTTAAATTCTTTTTCAATCTCGTTTATCAATTCATCATATTCTTTAAGTGACATTCCCATAAAAGGTGCCATAACTTCTTTTACACTTTTAAAATAGTATAAAGCCATATCATTATAATACTCATCACAACTATTATCTCCAACCGGAATGTTTCCTATTTGATGCGTAATAGAATCAGCTTTCCCAGTCTTTTCAAGATAATCTTCAAAATGTAATATGAAATCATTATTAATGCCATTTGCCGTAAACCACGATGTCCCTAAAGAATTATAAATAAACAAATTGAGAAATTATTTCAGAATACACTATAAATTTTTAAAATTATAAACTTACATGCTTCATTCAGTCGCGTAAAGGATGGCCCAATAATAACATCATGATTAAATTGATATCCAACCTAATATAAATACAGTAATTTCGGATCTATAAATGTGGCTTTTATTGTCAAGTTAAAAAAAAAAAGCTCACCTCCAAATAACCTCCTGGCTTCAATACTCTGAAGAGCTCAGTTAAATATTCTTGAAAACATTCTTCTCTAAAGAAACAGTTGTGATCTCGGGTAAAAACTAAATCAAATTCATCATCGGGAAATGGCAGTGGTTGTATTTTATGGACATCAAATTCAATGAATTTAACATTTTCACTAGATTCTTCTCGTTGAATAAAACCAACTGCATAAAATTCGGTATTTGGATACTCCGTAGAAACCTAGTATAAATAAATAAATTAATACTAATACTACCAAGATTTATAAAATCACAATAAGGTTAAATACTTCGTCAATCCAAATGCCAGCTTCACAACTTTTGTGAATTTTTAAAATATAGCATAATTTAAATAAATTTATTGTATTAATAAATTTTTACAAAAAATAAACCGAAAATTTATTTTACCCAAATTGTAGAACTTTAGCTCCGGTTTGTAACTTTTCAAGAACCGGAGCTCCTATATTGCCATTAAATATATGTTGAAGAAGATTATGCAAATATAATGCGCCGTTGTTGAATTCATCAAAATCCTTAATAGGAAAGCAAATATTTTCTCTATTTGCGTTTTGTTGTTTAATATCTTGTGAATAATCGTTCATTGAGAAAAGATTGTTTCGTATTATTTAATAAATCTGATAAGTACAGTACGTAGCTGATAATGATTTTATTCTCAAAAATATTAGGGACGTGGACGTTTATAATATTATATTTTTCAATTAAATTAATTAAATTAGAATTAGGTTAGTTTCAGGGACACGAAATTTGTTCCAACATTTTTTTTTTTTTTAGTAGCGCTCCGAAATAGGTTTAGATGTTCGGATTTGCTTTGTCAAATCCTTAGAGTTCGTTTATGTTAGTAATGGTAATGATAAGGGTCAACAGATATCCGAATATTGGATCAATCTGTGAGTCAATCATCGGGTCAAACATAGCTAATTTTTTCAGATTGTTGATTTATTTATAGATATTGCTAATAAATTTTTTGTACAAACAAGGTCACAAGTTTAAATTCAATTCGCCAAGTTAAATTGACAATCTTCTGATTGGTTTTATTCTATTTTTTAGAGTCATATCTTCAAAGATTGATTGATTTTTTTCAAATCTAAAAATCTCAATATTTTATTAAGCTAATGTTATATTAAAAACTTTACTGCATATATAAATAATAATCGATACTTTAATTTGAATTTATAAAAAAAAATTTAAACGGCAATTTTCCTAAAGGCTACCCATATATTACTTGATTCATGTCCACTTGACCACCTTAGTACAAAACAATACCGTTCATTTTAGGTTTACAAGTACTCTAATCTAGGATTATATATAGCATTTAATTTTAAATATACATATATATATTTTGAATTTTTTATCAGGATTATGAATTGATAATCATTGATAGGCAGATTAAGAACGAAGACTAAAACAGGAAAGTTTGCTAATTATTATTTTTCTATTTATTGTCATTATTTTGAAATTATATTCAACCGGATTAATTCGAATATCGGCGGATTTGTGGAATTTGATAAATAGAAAACCTACGAGCCGTAACTCTGGTCAAATTTGCAGATCATTTTGCCAGGTTTGAAATTATTTGACTGTAAGATTGCCAAATGATCTACAAATTTGACCAGAGCTACGCCTCAGGTTTTATATAAATCTGAATAGATTATCGTTATTGATTATATAATTAGATTAATGTGCGAAATTAAGTTGCAGTATAATAAAGGGGTTTCAAATTAAGCGATAATCTATTTGAGTTAAAGTTATTTAATTTTCTAACCAAATTTCGAATATTCTATTCAGATCAACGGGATATTATTATTACTAATCACATTTATTGTTAATTCGTTCTATTCTATATATGAATAAAATTTCATTTCATAAAACGTGAGGTAACATAGTGACGGCAGAAAAAATTCGCGATCAGGTGATTTTCTGGTCGTTTTGAACTTATGCAGCCATAATATAATATCAACATACAAAAATTTATGAAATTAGACATAGTATAGTATTATTTATTGATCATTAGTTGAGTCACAATCATCTGATCGCGAATTTTTTCTGCCACTACTATGTTACCTCTGTAACGAGAGTTACCAAATACACTCTTTTATTTAACATTCATAGTTCCAAATTCGATTTTTATCTCCGAAATATGTTAATTTTGAAGCGCCCTAATGATAAAGATTCACAAACTTAAATACTATATCAGATATACCTTTTATTTGACATTCGTAATTCCAAATTCGATTTTTATCTCTGAAATGTGTTAATTTTGACAGCATCTGATTTCAGATAAATAAGTAACGTACTTATTTCAATTTGAGCGATCATTAAATCCTATTTTATTTTGTTTTATTTATTTTTTTTTTTAAAAAAAACATGTTCGTAAGCTCCTATTAGTTTTCTGATTTCAAAACCCCATAATTCCAAATTCGACTCTTATCTCCGAAATGTGTTAATTTTGAATTGCCCTAATTTGGGTTTCAAATTAATGATTCAGCATCTGATTGAGGATAAAATAAGTAACATACTTATTTCAAATTCATATTCATAAGCTCTTATTTAGTTTTCTAATTTCAGATTTCAATATCCCTAAATAAAGGGTTTCAGAATCAAAAACAAAATAGAAATGGGAGCCCTAATTTCCCCCACAGTTGTGATCGGATGTATGAAATTCCGTCTTTAATTGGACAATCTTTTCATAAAGTTTTTAAGTTTTTGTTCGATACTTTATTCTCAAGAGAATAAAATTTTGCTGAGACCTATGTTTACAAGCTTGTAATTTTAAAATGCAACAAAAACTTTTCCCAAATTCCTTATTTATATTCTTGGCCGCGATTTTTACATTTTATTGGTACTGATACAGTACTGCAGATAAATAAAATGCTACGACAAGTGCTAATTAATAGATTTGTTTTAATATTAATACAATAATAATGTAACTCAAGTTCATAAAAGCTATTTTCCTGAAAGAAAATACTTTGCTAAAATCGTTCTTTTTTGTGTTAGTCTTAAAAAGTTGTATATTTACCAAAAATTAATAAGTATTATAAAATAAAATAAGCATAGTTAAAAAAAAATTTATATTGAATTACAGATATAGATTCTTACTAGACTTTCACTATATAATTATAAATAAATTTATTAGGCTTTCAATAATTCTCATGGCCGGCTAAAAATTTTAAAAATTCTGCCAATAGATTAAAGCATTTTATAACACTATTGTAAGGATCACAATTACTTTAGAGAAATTCAAAGCTATTCGAGTATAATAAAATGTATTATGTTATGCAAATGAAGTCAAAAGTGACAAAGTTGAAAATGCTACTGCATCACGGTTTTATAACATTAAAAAATTGATATGCTAAATATGAGTGTCGCCAAAAGAAACCCGACAATCTAAAAATAGATCACTTAGATCACTTATGAAATTCATAAGTGATCAAAGTGATCTATTTTTAGATTGTCGGGTTTTCTTTTGGCGACACTCATATCATTAAAGCTATTGATAGAGAAAAAAGCTCGAGAGTGCACTAATTTGACTCTAATCGTCACAAAGCGAAAGGTTTGGTGATAGCTTCTAATAAATAGGTCGATATTGGCGCAGTAAGACAATTTAATAATCAATGAGAGAACAATGAGAGAATAATGAGATTATCGGTACAACTGGATATCAATACTGTAATAATCTGAATTTAAAGTTGAATTATAGTAACCGGTTCTGATCTCTATTAATGAGAAATAATAGAATTTTTAGTTGTAGATAGTGTATTTTGAGTATTAATTGAAATATTATAACTTTTAATCTGTATTAAAAGTAATTTTTTATGATATTTTTAAGACTTTATAAATTAAAAATTAAGAATGAATTAAAATCTGAATCAAGTCTTGATAAGTAACTATCACTAAGAAATATATATATATAATTAACAGTAAGTCAAATATAATTAATATTTATAAAAGTGCCTAATATTATATACTTTGTAATCTATACAACATTGCTATTGTTGTAAAATTTCAAAAGTACCAAACTGGCATTCTTAATTCCATTTTAACTCCAAGTGCCCAATTTCTATTTTTACAGACTTTACAAATATTCATTTGTTTACAGCAACAATATTCACAGCCTTTTCTTATTTAACTTCAAACAAAACCAATGTCAAAATAATGAAGCATTTGAATATTAAAAGTTTTTTACAGTTTTTTGGGAAGCATTTTTTTAGTCTTCATATAGCAGTTTGAGTAGAGTTTAGAGTCAGAGTTTATTAATTAAAGTGTATAGATGGGTTTTAGTAGGGTTTCATCAGGAAATTTTTTTAGCCGATTTATAACGATTATTAACCAATAATCGATGATCGTTAATTAAAAAATATCGATAATCATCGGTATGGGTGATTACAATCGATAAGTTAACTCTAAACGATAATCATCTAAAAGT